CCCCTTCTTGCCCCGACGCCTCACCCTCCTCCACCTTCCTCCCCTTCCACGCCTCCCACAGATTCCCTTGCTGCCCCATTACCCGTTCCTCCCCATGCCCCTTTACCCACGGACATCCCTACCCCCCCACTACCTACCAATCCTCCCCTTCCTCGCACCTCTTCCCGTGCCCATAAACCTCCATCCTATTTAAAAGACTACGTTTGCTCGCAGGTGATTTTGCCATCCCACCCATCTTCGACTTCGCAACCCGGTTCTACACAAGGTACGCGATATCCACTTTGTAATTTTCTCTCTTATCACCGTTACTCTCCCAGGCATTTTTCTTACATTAACTCTGTCAGTCGGACTGTGGAGCCTTCCTCCTTTGCCGAGGCTGCCACTGACCCCAATTGGCAATGTGCTATGACTGAGGAGCTTCAAGCTTTACATGCTAATGGTACTTGGACTTTAACTTCCTTGCCCCCTGGCAAAATTCCCATTGGTTGTAAGTGGGTGTACAAACTCAAGCACAATTTCGACGGCTCTATTGACCGCTACAAAGCTCGTTTGGTTGCTAAAGGCTTCACTCAGGCTGAAGGTATTGATTATCATGACACTTTTTCTCCTACTGCTAAGATGATTACGGTGCGTTGTCTTCTTGCTCTTGCTGCTAGTCAGTCTTGGTCTCTTCATCAGCTTGATGTTAATAATGCTTTCTTACATGGTGACTTACATGAAGAAATCTATATGTCTCCTCCTCCTGGTCTTCGGCGACAGGGGGAGAATCTTGTGTGTCGCTTTCACAAGTCACTTTATGGTCTTAAGCAGGCTTCTCGCCAATGGTTTGCCAAATTCACTAGTGCCATCATTTCTGCCGGTTTTCAACAATCCAAAGCTGACTATTCATTGTTCACTAAAAAGTCTGGTATTTCTTTCACAGCTTTGCTCATTTATGTGGATGATATTGTGATTACAGGCAATGATGCTAGTGCCATTAATTCTCTGAAGTCTTTTCTCCGTGATCATTTTCGGATAAAAGACCTTGGTGATTTAAAATATTTTTTGGGTATTAAGGTTTCTCGTTCCAAACAAGGGATTTATATTTCTCAACGCAAGTATGCATTAGAGATTCTCAAGGACTATGGTTTTTTGGGAGCACGACCCATTGCTTTTCCTATGGATGACACAAAATTATCTGATAAAGGAGAACTTCTCAAGGATCCTAAAAAGTATCGATGATTAGTAGGTCGGTTAATATATCTCACTATCACTCGGCCGGATATCACCTATTCTGTGCATGTTCTAAGCCGTTTTATGTACGAGCCAAGGATATCTCATATGGATGCTGCGCTTCGTATTGTTCGTTATTTGAAGGCTACTCCAGGTCAAAGTTTATTATTTCGTTCTGACAACCAGACCAAGTTAACTGCGTTTTGTGATTCTGATTAGGCAGGTTGCCCTATCACTCGCCGTTCGACTACTGGGTATTGTGTATTCTTGGGCAATTCTTTGATTTCTTGGCGGACGAAACGACAGAAAACCGTTTCGCTCTCTTCAGCAGAGGCGGAATATAGGGCCATGGCAGGTGCTTGTTGCGAGATAGTTTGGCTTCGTTTTTTGTTGAAGGATTTGAACATTCCTTTGGATGGTCCTTCCATTTTATTTTGTGATAATCAAGCAGCGTTACATATAGCTGCCAATCCTGTTTTTCATGAACGAACTCGTCACATTGAGATGGATTGTCACTTTATACGAGATAAGATTGTAGATGGCACAATAGAGACCAAGCATGTGGGTATGGCACAACAGTTGGCAAACTTGTTTACCAAACCTCTTGGGAAAGAAAAGTTTTCGGGTATGTTACGCAAGTTGGGAGTTCTTGACATCCACTTTCCAACTTGAGGGGGAGTGTTAGACAAATAAGGAATATGGTTGGAGTCCTTGTGTAATTGTATATAATATTATTCACTATTGGAACTATAAGCCGTCCTACCTTGTCCTACCTACACACTAGCCGCCCTACAGCCGTCAAGCCGTCCTACCTTGTCCTACCTACACACTAGCCGTCCTACAACCGTCAAGTCATCCTACAGCCGTCCTACCTTGTCCTACCTACACACTAGGACGGCTACCTTGTCCTACCTACACACTTGTATCATGTATATATATCCTTGTAATCTTGTAGAGAAAGATAATGAGAAAAAAAGCATTCTCTTCCATTTGTTCCACATTCACGTATCAATAACAAATATATTTTTTAGCCTACATACCTTTTTCTACAAGCTTGATTTCTGATATGCTGCAGGAAAATATGAAGTTGATATGGGACGACTTCTTATGCTGCGAACCTTTTCCAACATGAAATGGAACTGCATGTCGTAGGCTTCTCTATTGGAACAATGACTCACTACATAATTTGTGTTTAGTGTACATTTTTTTTTTTTTTGGAGTGATTCTTAAGTGCTTGTGGGAGTGATTTGCTTTGCTCAATATTTAGGATTTTGTCATTACACTGTGGGATGATGGTTATGAATTTATGATATCAAAATGTCAAATTTTATTTAAGGAAAATTAGAATACCCTACATCTTTTCTATAGTTGTTAGATTAAACATTCATCCTTTTTAAAGATTTGATTAAGGTGCTTTGATCAATTGCCACCTTAATAATTTTCTATTTATTTAATTTTCGTGTCATTAATTTAAATGCATTTATATACAGGCATAAGGTAGCTTAGCAACTAATTACCTACAATATAGGAATTTAATTTCGCCAATCCCCTTCTACGCATTAAATGACATTTTTTTAATAAAATAAAATAAAATAAAAAATTAATTAACTAATTCCTCATTACCTTGTTATCAGTGTATAAAAAAAAAATTCTCTTTCTATTAAAAATTTCTCAATAAAAAGTCTTCAATACATATATTTTCACGTATAGATATATAAAAAAATATACTTAAAACGTATGGTACATTTAGTAACAAAAGTATCGACATTTGGTACGTTTAAATTTCAAATGTATCGAGAAACCAAATGTGCCAAAAATTCAAATGTACCCATTGTTATGTAACCCCCTTTGGTACGTTTAGATTTCAAATATATAGAGAAACCAAATGTACCAAAATTTCAAATGTACCATAAAACCAAATGTGCCCATTGTCAGGTAACCCTTTTGGTACGTTTAGATTCCAAATGTACCAAAAGACCACATGAACAAAAAATCACAAATGTACCACAAAACCAAATGTCTCTATCAGATAACCCTTTTGGTACATTTACATTCCAAATGTACCGACAAATACAAAAAATCAAATCCACTATAAAACTAAACGTGTCCATATTATAGTTAACTAGACGTAGCTATATAATCAAACAAATCTTTATTATGTGTTGGGTCTTCTAAATAATAAAATCTGACAAATTTTTTTATAAATATTCTACTATATTCACAAAAAAAAAAAAAGTAAAATTATAACAAACAATAAAAAAAAATGCATAGAGATGGATAATAAATGCATAAATATAGGGATAAGAGGGAAAAAAAAAAAAGGGAATGTCTAGGAAAAGTCGTGAAAAACTGAAATTAATAACCAAAATTTTGGGAAAATGTTTGATCAAATTTTCAAAAGAAGTGTATGTTTAGTCTAAAAAATTAAAAAATGAGGCGCCTATATCAAAACCCATTTTATTTATGTATTACAAAGAAAGTTGAGGTTTTACCCTAAAGTTAATTAACAGCATGCGGGAAAACACGATTTCTTATAAGCTTATGCAAGGTTGCTTAACCTTCTAATGGAAGACAACAACTTGCATTACAGTGTATTGTAAGAAAAGATGTAACTACTAGATACTCAGATTTCTACTCACATGTGAACTGAATAATAATCCAAATGTTTAATTTAAACAATTAATTAAACCATTATCCCTTACATTTTAGGTCTTGAGTTGACTTTTTTTTTTAACCTTGACGGTACAAGAAAATTTTATTGATATGACAAATAAAAGTTGTACTTGATCAGGGACAAAAAAAACTTGACCTCTCCATGAATCTTGAAGAAAATGAATACAAAAAAAAAGATGGGTTATAAAGGACCAAAACCCCTCTGAAACGAAACTTAAAAACACTGCAACAAAGCAACAATCTAAAAACTGAATCACAAAAAGATTACCTTGAGTTGAATTCTTTTCTCTAATAGTATCTCTTGTATTAAAAAGATTATAACATTATTTTTTCTGCATTTTAAAATTAGTATAGTAACTCAGTTGTCAAAAATTTCCGATTCAAATGATTAAAGATGTTTATTTTCCAAATTTTAATATATGAAAACGTGACTTGAGGACCATATGGACCTACAAACGTCAGTGGAGGTTAAACAATAAAGTAATGGGAAACAAACAATTTTACCATCAAAAAGCTTCTTTTTCACTTTATAAAAAGTGTGGTGCTATTTACTATCAGAAAACTTCTTTTTCTTGAATTGTTTTAGCCTTCTTTAATTCTCAAATTCTTTTTAATTTTCGATTGTTAAACTGAATAAATTAAAAAAAAAATTAAAGAGTTGAAGTTAACAACGAGTGTGTGAGGTAAAAATAAAATGTGAATAACATTACCCCTCCAAAGTTTGTCACATAACAGTATGTAGAACCCCCACCAAGTTATCACTAGGAAAAGTAAAAAAGAAAACCCCATCAGCAAGTTTAACTTTTGTCACAAAACGTTGAAGAAGAAAAGGTCCAAACTTTCGAATTCCATGTCCACAAAACCTCACAAGGCAATGCACAGAGTAAAGCTACTCCAATTTGTTATCTTAATCATTTTTTGGTCTCTCAAGCTTTCAAGTTTTTATCTGCCTCTCTGGGTAGTGATTTCTGGGTAAGCTTCTCTCTCTCTCTCTCTCTCTCTCTCTCTCTCTATTTATAAAATCCTCCCCATTAATTATTTGATCTTCTTTATATAGTAACTTTGAATGTTTTATCTTCGCTGTTCTGTGTTCATATCAATTCGAAGCTAAAATAATTACCCAGTTGAAGAACCTTACCATAATCAGAGTCTCACTTTACTAGGCGAACCCTTTTTGTAATTGTTCCGAGAGAAATGTTAAATAGACTCTCTTAAAAGTGGGACTTTCCGTGGACTGTCAGCCACTTCATGTTTTTGGCATGAGAATTAATTATAAACTGAGGTGGCAGAGTGTTTATGGAGAGTCAAGAGTCAGCACTTGGAGAGAGCTTTTCTCTTGTTCCGAATTCGAACGAAAGATTTCAACTTTCTTCATTTTCCTCAGAAACCAAACAAACCAATAAGAATTAACACTTCAACAGGCTGGACTTTCTTCAATAAACATGAGTATTCTGTTTTAAATCCTCTTTTCTTTTTGATTTTCGGTTGCCCTCACTTTGATCCTTTGATTTTATAGGCATAAGTGCTAGTTCTACAATGGCTTACGTTCCACCACACAGGCGGCACTCGAAGGAATCGGAGAGGCCGTTGCCAACTCCAGAGCTGCTTGCTCCTCAATTCAAGAAAAACTTAAATGACAAGCAATATATTAAGTCTAATGTGGATTGGAGTGGAAAAATAGTTTATGCAGACAATTCGACTCATAGATGGTGCGCCATCCCTTTGGATGACGAGAACCAGTTTCCATCCTTTGTTAATCTTGAGCCCGTTGCCTTGGAGTCTGCTGAGCAGATAATTGGAAAAAATCGTGTAGCTCTGATCAATACTAGTCTAAATAATGGTTAGAACTTCAATATTTCTTTTAGTGCGTTTATCTTATAAGTTTTTACTTGGGTTATGGATTTGTTTGGCTGATACTTGACAGAAGGCAGTGAGGTGAAATGGAACTTGCCAAGGAGCCCTTGGGAATCTATAACAGAAAATGTGCTGGAAGACTTGCTTTCGGCATTTAAAGACATGAGGAATGAAATCAAGTCCGCAAAGTGCAAAGAAGTATATCCAACTTTGGTTGCCAGAGTGGGGAAAGTACTCTTTCGCAGGTTAGATTTCCTCCTTACCTAATCCATTGTTTAGCTTTCGAGCCTTTTGTGCCATTCATTAATTTGATTCTGTCATGCGAATATTCATCAATTTGTTCTTTTAGCTGCCTCAGAATACTGGTTAAAGTAGATGAAAAGAATAGTCGATGGTCTATACTATGATAAAAGGTCATATTTTGGCATTTTAGCTTAGAAGATACTGTGCCAAGTTGGACGGTGACGTAGGATTATAAAATTCTGCCCTTGTTTTTCAATACTTGATACAGTTATATTTCGGTATTGATGCTTAATCACTGTCAATCATCTCATATTTTGCATTAGTTATGTAACAATGGAAAATAATGTTGTACTACTCCTTTGTTGTACATGAGCAGATGAAAGACACTTTTTTGTTGAAATCTTTGTAACAGGAGCCCTTCAGTTAACATGGAATATATCAGAAAAAAATTTGTCTACTGAAACCTTGAAACAATGGAGGAAATCATTTTACACAAACATCCCTGTTTCATATAAGGAAAGGATTGTAAAGGAAGTTGTCCCGAAAGTTGGGGTTGATTTCAAGGAGGAGAAAGATATATGGCTGTTGTGCCATTCATTTAGTTGATTGTTTCATGCGATTATCCTTTTTACCTTTATGTTTTTCTTTTATCCGCATCATAATACTGGTTGAAGTAGAACAAAATAATAATCTATACTATATTTGGCATTTTAGCTTAGAAGGTAGGATGCCAAGTTGAACAGTGAAGCAGGATTCTAAAACTCTGCTCTTGTTTTTCAATACTTGATACAATATTATTTTGGTATGGATGCTTAAGTACTGTCAATCATCTCATATTTCATATAATTTGTACACGAATAGATGTATAACAATTTTTGTTGAATTCTTTGAATCAGGAGTCCTTCAGTTAACGGGGCATCCATCAGAAAAGAATTGTGCACTGAAATCTTGAAACAATGGCGGCGATCATTTTACATAAACACTCCTGTTTCATATAAGGAAAGGATTGTCAATGAAGTTGTCCCGAAAATTGGAGTTGATTTCGAAGATGAAGAAGATATATACGAAGTACAGGTATTTCTGTTAGACACGTCAACTTACTGAGTTCTGAGTTCATGTTTTCCACTATTCTGACTGTAGCTATTGAATTGCTCATTTATTTTCTTCTTGTGCAGTTGTCTGATTCTACGAGTCCAGATCCAACTCTCTCCTGCAAATGTCGGGTAATGGAAGAACATGGAAAGCTACAACCCTACAAGGCAAGTTTTCCAATTCATTCTAACTAAATTTGATGAAACCGTATATGTTGCATCAATATCACGATTGAGTTGCCACGATATCGATTAGATAATTGAGATGTAACATATTATGCTGGAAAATATGAGTGTTGGATAAGAAAACTAAATGTTCAACCGCTGAATGTGATTAAGCTCTCCAATTTTTGGAATAATTTATGGGGAGCCTTTCCAGATCATTAATATCCCGAGACTTACATCGAAATGTCAACTTTCTTAAGTTTCCCTGTTGTTTGGCGTAAGGTTTGTATCCTGAGAATTGGCTGAGACTTATATCGAAATGTCAACTTTCTTTCAGATCAAATTGAGTCCAGTGCGTAACATGGTAATGGACATTTCATGCACTACTAAGAATCTGGACCTGAGGTTAATGCTATGCACGAAGAAACTCGTAACTGATCTGACTGTAAGCTGCTTCACCCAGTCCTTTAGAAATTTACATTTCTATTCCTTGTTTCAGCAAAGATTTTAATTATGACCTATATTTATCTTCAAGCCACAATCAAAACAAAGAATAGAACCTTTTGTAGATTAATAACGGGACGGTCATGTGGGTTAACCATACTGGATCCCTGGCTGAACTTAGGCTGAACTTAGGCTGAACTTATACTTCTTGGAATGAAGGTTCGTGATCATATTAACTGTTGCTATTTCAGGATGATGAGATGCAAAGCATTACGGATCTGATTAATTCTGCAATTCTAGATCCAAATGTGAAGGGTGGATTGAGATGGCCCCTGGGGAAGGAGTCTTCCGGAGATAGATACAAAGTTGTTAGGGTTTGGCACGTGATAGCTAATACGTATAGAAATTCATCACTGACTCTGAAAGTGAAACACACTGATCGATTTGATTTTAGAACCTTAACTGGAGAAGCTTCTTGGTGGACAAGTCTGGTGCTGGAAAACGTCGTGTCAAAGTTACTGGTAAACGCTGCCTTTTCTCTGGGACAATTTCTTTTAGTTCATGTGCTGAAATAAAAGATTTGTTTGAGAAGGTTTATCATGTGCTGAAATCTCCTTTTTCTTTCAATTTTCAGGAAGAGAATGTCGAAGCCAGCACAATTTCTGAGATACTCAAGGAAGATATGCAGTTGATATGGGAAAACTTCTTGAGCTGTGAACCTTTTCTAACATGAAATTGCACGTTGATCAGTGATCACTGTCTATGACTCTATGCGACGTGTATATATCTGTCTACATTATGAATTTTAAGTTCGGCTTTCGGCATCGTTTGATGAATAATTAGTAACTGATTTAATATTTCTAGCAATTCTGTTTGTTTCTGGCATTGTTGATGGTTAAATAATGGGAAATTGCCAAAAATGACCCGTTTTCTTACAACCAAGATGTTTAATGAAATTTTTGCATCGCATCCCACAAGCAGCACTTAAAGGAAAGAGGAGAATTTGTGCTACTTGTGGGGTGGGGCGTATGCCATTTTATCCCTAGTAATAAAATATTAGAGTTCAGAGACTAAAGAAATTAATATGAGAGTTCAGGGATTAATTAAACTAGGGGTAAAGTTTAGGGACCATTCTAATTTTTTGAAATGTCCTTGAGGGGTTTCTGTAGGAGAAAAATCGTAAAACTTACCTACATATGGAATGCCACGGCCGCATTATATTCTAAACCAATCACATACCTTCCCCATTTGCTTGTTATAGAGTCTCTCTAGTGAAACTCACATGAATGGATGACTACTTTTTATTTTAGATGGAGCTGAATCAACTCTGTAACATGGTCATGAACATATCATGCCGGTACAACGTTGTTGGAATTTGGCATACAAGTACGTACCACTACTTATGAAAATTCATCTCCAAAACTGAAGTTAAGGCATGCCAATTGATTTGATTTTACGACCTTTGCTGGTGAAACTGGTTGGGAGGTTAGGCTGTTTGATTTATGATATGCTGCAGGAAAATGGGCAGTTGATATGCTGTGAACCTTTTATAACGTGAAATGAAACTACGTGCATGCTGCAAAGTTCTCACTATTGAAATAACCGTTTGCTGCTTCATTGTAAAACTATGTAGTCGTATTTATGTGCATTGGGAGTGATTTGCTTTGCTTAATTAGGATGTTAACTTTTGCTTGAGTATGTATCATTTAAGGAGGTTCTACCCTAAAGTCCTTAATTGATAATAGGTGGAGTGTATGTGTGTGTGTGTGTATAGACACACGCACTCTTGAGGTTCTACTCTTAACTTCTACTAAGCTAATGCAAGGTCTTTTAACTTTCTGACGATGGACAATACTCAATATCACACATTAAAGATCTAAATGTTTATACATTAATTTGTCCTTTGGTTTTTTAACTTTTTGATGGCGAAGATGAAATGTTTTATTCTTCATATTGATTTGTTGTCGGAGAAGAAGCGTTTCCTTCAAATTGATTTTCTTTAATAATGAATATCCATTTTCTAAACAAAAATGCTACTTTTATCATCTATTTGTACCATCATTTGTATCATCTCTCTAACATAAACGAGACCCCCATGCATTAGCGGACCTTACTTCTATTACAAAGATGATACAAATAAGTGATAAGTATAGCATTACTCTTTTATAAATTATTTTTTATTCACGTGGCAATGATTTTGTGTGGCCTGCGACATCCACATGGACAAATAAAAGAGAAAATAGCATAAATTGATACATATGTATAATATTTGTATGAAATCATGAGCCGTTGTATGAAATTGAAAAATGTAATTTTATTCTTTACTTGTAAGTGAGAAGTCTTAGGTTCAAATCTCATGGATAGCGAATTCAATACCAAATTTAGTTGCCCATTAAATGGTTTAACCGAACTCCCCTCCCCGTAATGTGTAATTTTATTTTTTATTAAAATCCTCCAGCGGGGTTAATTAGCAAAAAGATAAAGAAAAAGCCCTCCGGCAAGGTTTGTCGCAAAAGAAAAATGATATAACCCTCCATCAAGCTGTCTCTATACGGAAAAAGAAAAAGATAAAAAAACCCTCCAGCAAGTTGTCTCTAAAAAGTAAAAGAAAAACCCCTCTAGCAAGTTATTTTATCTATTTTTTGTGTACATTCTGAATTACTTTTTAATTAGAGATAACTCGACTTGGTAACAACGTCATCACTTGTACTATATTTTGTAACAACGTCATCACCTGTAAACCTATATAATCAATGTGAAGCCTCGCTCATGATTCATTGAGCATTCATCCTGAACTCTACTGAGCGTTAATATTCTTTTATGGTATTCACGAGCTAAAGTCTTACCACATCATTTGCATTTCCGTTTTGTTTTGTATGTTTTTTTTCAAATGGCGTATTATTCTTCCAGCTTCTCCTCCTCCATTCCTCTCCCTACCCTACCTGATGTTTCCACCTACCTTACGATTAAACTTGACCCTACCAATTACCCTCTCTGGCAAGCCCAGATGCTTACCTTGCTTCGTAGCAGGAATCTCACCTCCTGTGTTGATGGCACTAGCAAATGTCCTCCTGCCTTTCTCAAAGATGATGAGGGCAATTTTACTGATACTGTGAATCCGGAGTTTGACGCTTGGATTCAACAAGATGCTATGGTTATGTCCTGGATCAAGAGCTCTGTTCATCCCACTGTGTTGGGTGCCCTATTCGGGAAAACCAGTTCTCATTCTGCATGGACCTGTCTGCGCGACCGCTATGATTTGCAGTCCACTGGCCGTCTTCTTCAACTTCGCAGTGAGCTGAGGAACACCCACCGTGGCAATTCCTCCATTGCTGAGTTTCTCGGTCGTGTCAATTGCCTTGCTGAGACTCTCTCCTTATCCGGTGCTCCTGTTTCTGAGTCAGATATTGTTGCCATTGTTCTCAACAATGTTGGTCCTGCATATAAAGGCACCGTGGCTTCTGCTCAGGCTCGTGATGAAGCCATATCTTACAGTGCTTTGGAGGCCCTTATGCTCAGCGCTGAGCGCAGTCAAACTATGGATGCTGTCTTCTCTGATGATACTGGACCTACTGGTCTTGCTGCTGCTCGTGGCGGTTGTCCTGGTACCTTTCATGGTCGTGGCAAGAGTACTCTGTTTTTAATGCTCTCTTCTTTTTTATTTTCGGTTGGCCTCACTTTGATCTTTGTTTTTATAGGCACAAGTGCTAGTTCTAGAATGGCTTACATTCCACCACACAAGCAGCACTCGAAGGAATCGGAGACATTGCTGACACCAGAGCTGCTTGCTTCACAATTGAAGAAAAACTTAAATGTCAATCCATGTAACATGTCTAGTGTGGATGGGACTGGCAGAATAGTTTATGCAGACCATCCTACACATAGATGGTGTGCCGTTGCTTTGGATGACGAGAACCAATTTCCATCTTCTGTTAGTCTTGAACCTGTTACCTCGGAGTCTGCTGAGACGAAAATTGGAAATAAATTTCTAGCTTTGACCAATACTAGTATAGATAACGGTTGGTACTCTAACATTTCTTTTAGTGCGTTTATGTTGTATGTTGTTACTTGGGTTGTGGATATGTTTGGTTTTGTTTTTCATGGTTGATACGTGACAGAAGGCGGTGAAGAGAAATCGAATTTGGCAAGGAACCCTGGCGCATCTATAGCAGAAAATGTGCTGGAAGACTTAGTTTCTTCTTTTGAACGCGTGAGGAATGAAATGAAGTGTGCAAAGCTGACAGACGTAAATCCTACTTTGGTTGCTAGAGTGGGCAAAGTACTTTTTCATAGGTCAGATTTCTTCCTTCACTGATTCATTGGTTAGCTATTGAGCCTATTGTGCCAGTCATTTAGTTGATTGTTTCATGCGATTATCCTTTTTACCTTTATGTTGTTCTTTCATCCGCCTAATAATACTGGTTGAAGCAGAACAATATAATGGTCTATACTATGATAAAAGGTTACATTTGGCATTTTAGTTTAAATGGTAGGATGCCAAGTTTGACAGTGAAGCAGGATTACTTGATACAATATTATCTTTCGTATCGATGCTTAAGTATTGTCAATCATCTCAGATTTCATATTAATTTTGTACACGAACATATGTATAACAATCTTCGTTCAAATCTTTGAATCAGGGTCCCTTCAGTTAACATCGAATCCATCAGAAAAAAATTGTGTCCTGAAATCTTGAAACGATGGAGGCGATTGTTTTACCCAAATGTTCCTGTTTCATATAAGGAAAGGATTGTGAATGAAGTTGTCCCACAAATTGGAGTTGATTTTGAAGAGGAGGAAGATATATACGAATTACAGGTATTTCTGTTAGACACGACAACTTACTGAGTTCTGAGTTCATGTTTTCCACAATTCTGACTGTAGCTATTGAATTGCTCATTTATTTTCTTCTTGTGCAGTTGTCTGATTCTACGAGTCCAGATCCAACTCTCTCCTGCAAATGTCGGGTAATGAAAGAACATGGAACGCTACAACTCTACGAGGCAAGTTTTCTAATTCATGCCAACTAAATTTGATGGAACTATATATGCTGCAGCAATCTCACGGTTGAGTTGCCACAATAGTGATTCGATAGTTTAGATATAATATTTATGCTGCAAAATATGAGTGTTGTATAACAAAACTAAATGTTCAACCACTGAATGTGATTAAGCTCTCCAATTGTTGAATAATTTGAGAGGAGCCTTTCCAGATCATTAATATTTTCGGGACTCTTCCCTCTCTTCATTTGCCCTGTTGCTTGGCTTAGGGTTTATATCCTGAGACTTACATCGAAATGTCAACTTTCTTTCAGATCAAATTGAAACCAGTGCGTAACATGGTAATGGACATTTCATGCACTACTAAGAATCTGGACCTGAGACTAATGCTGTGCACGAAGAAACTCGTAACTGATCTGGCTGTAAGCTGCTTTCACCCCGTCCTTCAGAAATTTACATTTCTATTCCTTGTTTCAGCAAAGATTCCTATATCTATCTTCATGCCACAATCAAAACAAAGAATAGAACTTTGCCTAGAAATGTAATGGGACCATGTGGGTTAACTATACGGGACCCCTAGCTGAAATTATGCTTCTTGGAATGAAGTTTCGCGATCATATTAATTGTTGCTATTTCAGGATGATGAGATGCAAAGCATTATGGGTCTCGTTAATTCTGCGATTCTAGATCCAGATGTGAAGGGTGGATTGAGATGGCCCCTGGGGAAGGAGTCTTCTGGAGATAAATACAAAGTTCTTAGGGTTTGGCACGTAAGAGCTAATACGTATAGAAATTCATCGCTGAGATTGAAAGTAAAACACTATGACCGATTTGATTTTAGAACCTTAACCGGGGAAGCTTCTTGGGTGACAAGTCTGGTGCTGGAAAACGTAGTGTCAAAGTTACAGGTAAACGCTGCCTTTTCTCTTGGACCATTTTTTTTTAGTTCATGTGCTGAAATAAAAGATATTTTTGAGAAGGTTTATCCTGTGCTGAAATCTCCTTTTCTTTCCATTTTCAGGAAGAAAATGTCGAAGTCAGCTCGATTTATGAGATGCTTAAGGAAAATATGCAGTTTATATGGGATAACTTCTTGAGCTGTGAAAGTTTTTTAACATGAAATTGCTTCTTGTTGTAAATCAGTGATCACTGTCTATTCGACATGTATATATCTGTTCACTTCCTTAGTTTTATGTTCAACTTTTGGCATCGTTTGATGGATAATTAGTAACTGTTTTAATGATTTCTTGCAATTCTGCTATCTATTTGTATCTGGCATAGTTGATGGTTAATGCACTTTTGGTGATTTCATGTCGATTACTTCATTGCCAGTAACTGCTTCGGCTCAGGTACTTCCTTACAACCAAGATGGTTAGTGAAATTTTTGCGGTTTCTTTTTGCCCTGCTACGAATTTTAAGCACAAGTTCTGGTTTTAAAATGGCTTACGTCCCACCCCACAAGCGGCAGTTAACGGAAAAGGGGAGACCCGTTACCAACACTGGAGCTGCTTGCTCCCCAGTTTAAGAAAAATTTCAATGTTTTGATACAAGATTTCTTTATGTAAACCATGCTATATCGAGATTTTGCACGATTGGTATGGATGCCAGTTTCCGTCTACCGTTATACTTGTGCCCATTTCCTTGGAATCTACCGAGTCGAATAGTGAAGAAAAACCTCTAGCTTTGATAGACTCCTGTCTACATAATGGAAAGCAGTAGTTTAACATATGGTTAATATAGCTGAAGTTGTGCTTGCGGACCTAGTTTAAAATATGGTACAGAAACTGGTTGGGAGGCTGTTTTTGAAAAAGCTCGTTCCAAAGTTACAGGTAAGTCTTGTATTTTTCTCTGAAAATCAGATATCTCTGTACCAAGAAAAGATCTGTCATGTGTTCATAGTAACATGACATCGATCTTATTCTTTCGATTTTTCAGGAAGAAAATGTTGAAATCCGCTTGATTTCTGATAAGCTGCAGGACGATGTGAAGTTGATATGCTATGAACCTTTTCTAACATGCAATGAAACTACGTGCATGCTGCAACCTCTCACCAATGAAGTAATCGTGTGCTCCTTCGTTGTAAACCCATGTAGTCGCAATTAAGTGCTTATTGGGAGAGTGATTTGCTTTGCTTAATTAGGTGTTCGTGATATCAGGATGTTAACTTTTGCTGGAGTACGTATCATTTTAGAAGATTCTACCTAAAGTCCGAGAAATTTTTCAGTGTTTTGAGAACACTACCTGGTATACCCAAGTGTCACAATACAATTAATTAAAAAAAAAAATTTAAGTGTCCAGCCAATTATGTTATTACATGGTGTACCAGTACATGTTCCAGGCACACAAAAATTTCTCCTAAAGTCTAATTGATAAATAGGTGGACTATATATACTCTTGAGGTTCTACAATAACTTCTAATAAGTTAATGCAAAATCTTTTAACTTTTTAGTGACAGACAATACTCAACATTACACGTTAAAGATTCAAATAATGTTTATAAATTAATTTGTACCTTGATTTTTAAACTTTTGTGATGAAGAAGATGAAGGGTTTCTTCTTCATATTGATTTGTTGTCAGAGAATAAGGTTTTCTTTAAATTGATTTTCTTTAATAATGAATATCCATCTTTTAATTGGTTTTTTATTCACGTGGCACAAATTTTGTGGGTCAACTATGTCCACATGAACAAATAACAAAGAAACTAACATAAATTGATACAGATCTAAGACATTTATACAAAATTGTGAATCGTTGTATGAAATTGAAAAAATTGAAAAACATACAAATTTGAAATTGGATGAAAATTTAAGGAGAAAATAATGTAATCTACCTTTTTTTTACATTTTTCGGTGGGTTAGATGATTTGCATCACAAATTTCTGACCCACTGAACTCCAAAAAGGATCAGGATCCTCTCTTGAGCTAAGGGTGAGGATCCTTCTGAGTAAGTCCATCGGGCCGTTCATATTTTATCCAACGGTTACAATTATTATAACTTTCAGAGGGGCTCCCTATTTGTATCCGTTGGATAAAATTTGAACGGCCCGATTGGCTTACTCAGGAAGATCTTCACCCTTAGCTCAGAAGAGGATCTGATCCCTCCAAAAATGGCTTTTGAGTTGTAAAATGAGCATTCCAAGATAATTTATTCTCTATTAAACTAAAATAGAATTTCAATTTCACAAAGCTAATTTTATTCTTCATTAAAACCCTTTAGCGGCGATTCAGTACTACGGTCTGGTAGTTTACCTCTTCATTTTGAAATGAGAGGTCTTAGGTTTAAATCTCGTAGATAACGAATTTGATACCAAATTAGGTTGCCCATTGTGTAGGTTAACCAAACTCCTCATTTTATTAATGTAAAAAAATCGATGTACTAATTAAAAAAAGCCCTCCAGCAAGGTTAATTAGCAAAAATTAAAGAAAAAACCCTCCGGCAAGGTTTGTCACATAAAACGCAGATAACCCTCCACCAAGCTGTCTCTGAAATGAAAAAAAAAAAAAAAAAACCCTCCAGCGAGGTTAATCAGCAAAAATTAAAGAAAGACCCTCCGGCAAGGTTTGTCACAAAAAAAGCATATAACCCCTCCGCCAAGTTGTCTCTAAAATGAAAAAAAAAAAACGAAAACTAATGAAAATGGTTTGAAAACTTTGAGTTTTAATGATAAGGACAAAATAAAAGATAAATGAATATTCCATGATTGACTTTTTAGTGTAAAAATGTGATTTTTCGTTAAAATGAACAGTACCGTGGACTTTTCATTAAAACTCCCAAAAAGAAGCCCTCCAGCAGATTGTATAAGAAGAAAAAAAAAATATATATATATATAAGAAAAAGAAAAACCCCTCTAGCAAGTTGTAATCCTATATAATCGACGGGAAGCCTCACTCATAATTCATTGAGCTGAGTTTATTCAAAGCATTCATCCTAAGCATTTCCTTTTTCTTTCAAATGGCGTCCAACTCTTCCAGCTCTTCCAACGTTTCCGACTTTCTTCCGATTAAACTTGACCCTACCAATTACCCTCTCTGGCAAGCCCAGATGCTTACCTTGCTTCGTAGCAGGAATCTCGTCTCCTTTGTTGATGGCACTAGCAAATGTCCTCCTGCCTTTCTCAAAGATGATGAGGGCATTTTTACTGATACTGTGAATCCGGAGTTTGAAGCATGGATTCAACAAGATAATATGGTTTTGTCCTGGATCAAGAACTCTGTTCATCCCACTGTGTTGGGTGCCGTAATCCGGAAAACCAGTTCTCATTCTGCATGGACCTGTCTGCACGAACGCTATGATTTGCAGCCCACTGGCCATCTTCTTCAACTTCGCAGTGAGCTGATGAACACCCACCGTGGCGACTCCTCCATTTCTGAGTTTCTCAGTCGTGTCAGTTGCCTTGCTGACGCCCTCTCCTTATCTGGTGCTCCTGTTTCTGACTCAGACATTGCTGCCATTGTTCTCAACAATGTTGGCCCTGCATGTGAAACCACCGTGGCTTCTGCTCAGGATCGTGATGGAGCCATATCTCACAGTGCTTCAGAGGCCCTTCTGCTCACTGCTGAGCGGAAACAAAGGATGCATACTGTCTTCTCTGTTGATGCTAGACCTACTGCTCCCGCTCCAGCTCGTGGCGGTGGTCCTGGTACCTTACGTGGTCGTGGCAAAGGCTATAGAGGTATTCGTGGTGGTATCAGTACTCTGTTTTAAATCCTCTTTTCTTTTTTATTTTCGGTTGGCCTCATTTTCATCTTTGTTTTTATAGGCGTAAGTGCTAGGTCTGGAATGGCTCACATTCCACCACACAAGCGGCACTCGAAGGAATATGAGAGGCCATTACCGACTTCAGAGCTGCTTGCTCAACGATTCACAAAAAACTTATATGTCAAGCCATATAACAAGTCTAATGTGGATTGGACTGGAAAAATAGCTTATGCAGACCATTCTACGTATAGATGGTGCGCCGTTGCTTTGGATGAGGAGAACCAATTTCCGCCTTCTGTTAATCTTAAGCCCATTTGCTTGGAGTCCTCTGAGCTGAAAGTAGAAGAAAATCGTCTAGCTTTAATCAACACTAGTCTAGGTGATGGTTAGTACTCTAACATTTCTTTTAATGCGTTTATCTTTGTATGTTGTTACTTGGGTTGTGTGGGTATGTTTGGCTTTGTTGTTCATGGTTGATACGTGACAGAAGGCGGTGAGCTGGAATGGAATTCGCTAAGGAGCCCTGCGGTATCTATAGCAGAAAATGTGCTGGAAGACTTGGTATCTTCTTTTAAACACGTAAGGAATGAAATGAAGTGCGCACAGCTCAAAGAAGGAAAGCCTACTTTGATTGCTAGAGTGGGGAAAGTACTTTTTCGTAGGTTAGATTTCTTCCTTATCTGAGTCATTTAGTTGATTGTTTCATGCGATTATCCTTTTTACCTTATGTTGTTCTTTTATCCGCCTCAGAATACTGGTTGAAGTAGAACGAAATAATAGTCGATACTATGATTGAATGCTGCATTTGGCATTTTAGTGTAGAAGGTAGGATGCCAAGTTGGACAGTGGAGCAGGATTCTAAAACTCTGCCCTTGTTTTTCGACACTTGATACAGTATTATTTTGTTATCAATGCTTAATTACTGTCAATCATCTCATACTTCATATTAATTTTGTACATGGACAGTGGTATGACAATTTTTGTTAAAATCTTTGAATCAGGAGCGCTTTAGTTAACATGGAATCCATGAGAACAAATTTGTGTACTGAAATCTTGAAACAATGGAGACGATCATTGTACACAAACATTCCTGTTTCATATAAGGAAAGGATTGTGAACGAAGTTGTCCCGAAAATTGGAGCTGATTTCGAAGGGGAGAAAAATACATACCAAGTAAAGGTATTTCCTTTAGACACATCAACTTACTGAGTTCTGAGTTCATTCTTTCTACAATTCTAACTTTTGCTATTGAATCACTCATCTTTGTCCTTCTTGTTTAGTTGTCTGATTCCACCAGACCAGATGCAACTCTCTCCTGCAAATGCCGTGTAAAGAAAGAACATGGAAAACTACAACTCTACAAGGCAAGTTTTCTAATTCCTGCCAACTAAACTGGATGAAGATATTTCATTGACTCTTCCCCTTCTTAAGTCTCCCTGTTGCTGGAGATAGAGTTTATTTACTAAGACTTACATTGCAATGCCAACTTTCTTTTTAGATTGAACTGAATCAACTGCGTAACATGGTTGTGGACATTTCATGCGCTACCAAAAATCTGGACCTGAGGCTGATGCTATGCACGAAGAGACTCGTCACAGATCTGACTGTATGCTGCTTC